TTCTTTTAAAATCTCGTAGGTCGGCAGAATTTAAGGGTACAGAAATATATCCAACCACAGGTTGAGGTCCACCCATAGGTACTTCCCTTAGGGGGTACATCTGAGCTGCCCCTCTTTGACTTCTAGTTACACGTCTAGGAGGGGGTGGGGACCCTTCTGATTCTGGTGGGGGAGTGGGCGCTCTAGGGATCTCTGGAGGGGCTGCGGGAACAGGAGGAGGAATGTAAGGAGGGAGGGTTAGAAGGATATCGTCTAACTCTTCCTTCTTTTTCTGGGGCTTAGTTTTTGTTTCTTTTAATGAATAAAGTCTAGCCCCCGGCTTTTCTAGCCACACTTCCGCATACAGACTCTCCTCTGGGTTAAAAGATTTTTTATTATTAACCCAGAGGTTTAATTGCTGTCTTACCCAATCTTCTTCTGACCCATAGACTGGCCAAATAACATTCTTAGAAATCTTCTTCCCTCCCCATATCTTAGTACAATATTCTATCATTTTTTGCTTATCTTTCCCTAGGGTTCCAGGGAAATACTTCCAATTATCTAAGATATATGCCAGAGGGGTATTCTTAGGTACAGAGGGTACCCCCCCCATGGGAGCCGAAGGCTTGCTGCCCTTCGCCCCCATCTTCTGGAATATCCACAAACACACACTCACTCGCTCCTCTTGTTCCTGGCCCAGTCCCTCGCGGGAGATGGAAAACGCAGTACTTAAGAGTCCACACTTGCTTGGTTCAGTATATCGAACCTCTCAGCCGTTATATTCCAGGAAACCCAATCCCGCCCGAACGGCAAACCCGCGAACAATTTCGCCGCGAACAGTTTCGCTCTGCGAATAATTTCGCAATATACTTACGCGTCCTGCGTCTTCGTCCGGACTCCCGTGCACAGAATTTTTATGGGATTTTACCGGTTTTTTTCCTTTGTTCCTTATCCTAGATTTTAGGTTCGTCGGTAAGGTTTTGAGGAAAGCTGTTGATCACGGGGCCGCGAAAATATCGCGGGGCGCCTTTCCCCGGAGGATCAAAAGCCCACCCTTCCTTATCCGAGTCACGGCACCAGAAATTGTTATAAATTTGCGCCACAACGGAACATAATCCAATTAAGAATTTTATTAATTTACAGCAAGTAGGATATGAACAAAGGTAACAGCGCTGGGGAAGCAAATCCAAAAACTTCCAAAAATCCGAAGCTTTGGCTGCTCCCCCGATTTCACTCCAACTGTCTCCTTTTATTCCTATTTCTTCTTTTGTCTCCCTGGAATTTGCAAGTCAATTCCTGTCGTTATCTTGTGTTTGTTTAAGCAGTCCCCTAGTGTGAATGGTTGTTGTGGTCTTTATCTTCAGTCTCCGGTTGAAGTGCTTGTTATCTTATCTAGTATCAGCTGTGTCCGTTTGGTGTTTGCATACCTCCGTGGTCTAACTTTATCTCAATACCTCAGTCTGTATTTTTCTTCTCACAGTTGTCTAACTTTTACATATATCTTAATAAACAATATCCCACTCTGTAGTTTCTCACAATTGTCTAACCTTTACATATATCTTAATAAACACTATCCCAATCTGTAGTTTCTCACAATTGTCTAACCTTTACGTATATCTTAATAAACAATATCTCAATCTGTAGTTTCTCACAGTGTCCTTGGACCTGCATTGTCACAACTGACCCATGGCTCCATGAGGTTCCCCAGTGTCACCGGGGTGTCCTTGGACCTGCACTGTCCCAACTGACCCATGGCTCCATGAGGTTCCCCAGTGTCACCAGGGTGTCCTTGGACCTGCCTTGTCACAACTGACCCATGGTCCCATGAGGTTCCCCAGTGTCACCAGAGTGTCCTTGGACCTGCATTGTCACAACTGACCCATGGCTCCATGAGGTTCCCCAGTGTCACCATGGTCGCTGTCAGAGGCTGGATGAGATCGATGTCCCGAGACACCTTGGGCTGAGCTGTCAATCAGTCACACAGCTGGGACAGTGTTAACCCAGCTCTGAACGCCCGAGCAATCAGAAGTCCCAGCTGGGGGGAGGCCCACGAAGGCCCAGGGGCTTAAAACCAAGGAGCACAAGGTCAGCCCCTGGTATGGACTCTGCCTCTCCTGGGGTTTGTGTCTCAGCCACACTGGAACCCTGGGAGCTGGGAGCCACATGTGTGTCTTTCTGTGGAGCTTCTGTCTTCCTCTCTCTCTCTCTCCTCTCCTTCTAATGCTCTTTATATGGAACATTTTTGGGTACCTGAACAACTTAAGTGTTTAAGGCTTTCCAGGCTAAATAGGCTAGTGAATGAAGTTACTGCTATGACAAGTGCTTTGTGTTGGATTTGATTTGTATTAAATGCTTTTCCAAAGTTTCTTGTTTTTTGTACTTTACCAGTAAAATTTTGGGGGGTCCCGAATGGGCGCTGAGGGGCACTTGGGGATCCCGGAGGGTCTGGGGGACACTTACGGGACAGATGGGGGCGGTACTGGGGCGGTTCTGTGGAACGCGGGGCATGACGGGCGTTGTAGTCCCGGCCCCAATGGGGCTCTACTGGGCTGCGGGGCATGATGGGAGTTGTAGGCAAAAGAAAAGATGGCGCAGGCTCCAGGCACCGCCCCCAAAGCCATGATCGATCCCTGACGCTGATTGGTTGGAGGCTGCGATGGGCGGGAGTCAGGACCAATGGGAGGCAGCAGAGGCGGGAACAGCCCATTCAACCCCTCCAGTCCCTCCCAGTACAGCCCAGTTCATCCCCAGTACAGCCCCAGTGCCCCTCCAGTCCCTCCCAGCACAGCCCAGTTCATACCTAGTACAGCCCAGTACAGCCCCAGTGCCCCTCCAGTCCCTCCCAGCACAACCCAGTTCATCCCCAGTACAGCCCAGTACAGCCTCAGTGCTCCTCCAGTCCTTCCCAGCACAGCCCAGTTCATCCCCAGTACAGCCCAGTAGAGCCCAGTACAGCCCCAGTGCCCCTCCAGTCCCTCCCAGCACAGCCCAGTTCATCCCCAGTACAGCCCAGTACAGCCTCAGTGCTCCTCCAGTCCCTCCCAGCACAGCCCAGTTCATACCTAGTACAGCCCAGTACAGCCCCAGTGCCCCTCCAGTCCCTCCCAGTACAGCCCAGTTCATCCCCAGTACAGCCCCAGTGCCCCTCCAATCCCTCCCAGTACAGCCCAGTCCCTCCCAATACACCTGAGTTAATTCCCAGGTCCTCCCAGTTCCCCCCAGTGCCATCCATATTCTGCTCCAGTGACCCCAGTCTTCCCCACAGCGTTCCCGCCCATTGTGGGGCAGCGGCACAGACGGAATGTCCTGCGGCCCAAATCCCTGCTCCTGCCACACAGTGCCCAGCCTTCTCCCCTCCTCCTCCTCTCCCAGCAAGGTACAAATTCCAGCTCGGAGGAGGCTTCCCCAGAGAGGGCTCCGGCTCCTGCCTCAGCCTGAGTGTCCCTGCAGAGGAACAGGGCATCTTTCAGGCACTTCAACAAGCTCAGGGTTCCCATTTCATGGTGAATCTGGGACGCAAATGGCCTTTTTCAGAAAGACAAATGCAGAGGAGATGGATTAGAAATTATTAGGAAAAAGTGACCCTTCTTCCAGACAAAGTTCACCAAGTCATTGCCTGCATTTCTCCTTTTCAGATTCTTTCAGTCATCTCCTGAGAGGTCCAGCTTGTTCTGGTGCTTTCCAAGACTGATTGAACTCTTGACTTATGCATCAATGCACCAGATGTGGAATCCTCTACAGTGAACTCAGAAAGAAACTTCCTCTGTCAGCCCATGTTCATGTTCTACATCACTTTCAAGATGTCCATGGGGATGTTGGAATGATATCACCCAGCTCTCCATTTCTGGCTGCAGGCTCTGGAGATTCTTTCTCTGCATTCAGTCAGGCTTGCATTCCCTGACAATTCCTGCTAGCTTGTCATAGTTTCTTAGGGTAGAACAATAACAATAACAATGAAAACCTCACAAATGGCACAACTACCCAGCCCACAAGGAAAAGAAAGAACAAGTTGTAAAGTTCTTCAAATATTTGTCCTGCTGTGCTGCAAGAGTCGAGCAGCACACACGGTGTGGAAAGCCAAGAGAAGCCACAGCTGGTGGCACATCTTGTGGCAGAAGCTGCTCAAAGCTTCCTCATTCTCCAGCAAAGGTTCTTGGAAAGAGCAAACAGGACTGTGGAGAAGATTCTGGGAAAACTGAAACAGCTTTTAAGAAATGAAATTAAAATGGAACAAAACAATCTAAGATGTTTTTCTGTTTCCTTTTATGCTCCCCTTTTCCATCTTGCACTACTTCCCCATCCCATTAATCCAAATGGATCTCACTTCTAAGAGCCACGACTTGGCAAGTTTTAGACACTGTAAAATACCATGAGCTACACACGGTTTGCCTTACCCTGAATTTTTTTTTTTTTTTAATCAATGCTGGAGACTAAGTGCAGTGCTTGGGTCAGGTACAAATTCAGCATTCAGGGAATGTGCTCCGATAGCGTTTGACCCTCAGCAGGGACAATGCACAGCAGTGACCGAGGGGATTCCTGTGTCCCTGTGCAGGAGTCCAGACTCTGGGTTTGGGCTGAACACGGCAAAGTTCCCGTGTTGGGACAGGCTCAGGGGCTGCCCCGGGGAGCGCGGGGCTGGGCGCGGGGGCGAGCGGGCAGCGGACACACGGACACGGGGACACACGGACACGGGGACACACAGACACGGGGACACGGACATGGGGACACACGGACATGGACACACACGGACACGGGGACACAGCGACGCGGGACACACGGACACGGGGACACGGACACGGAGCTTCAGCTGCAGCAGCAGCAGCAGCAGAGAAAGCAGCGAATTTCCCTCTCCCTCTCCCGCTGTCCCCTCCTCTCCCGCTCTCCCTTTCCCGCTGTCCCCTCCTCTCCCGCTCTCCCTCTCCCGCTGTCCCCTCCTCTCCCGCTCTCCCTCTCCCGCTGTCCCCTCCTCTCCCGCTCCCCCTCTCCCGCTGTCCCCTCCTCTCCCGTTCTCCCTCTCCCCCATGCCGGGCCGGGCCATGCCCCCGGCCCGCCCCCGGCCCCGGGCGGGGCTGCCCCGTCCCCGCCCCGCCTGTCCCGCCGCGGTCTCGCCTCCGCCGGGCTCTGGGCGTGCTGGCGGTGCCGCTGCCGGGCGGGCATCAGTGCCCGGGGCTGGGGCGGCATCGCCGCCCTTTGGCTCCGCCTGGCCCGAGCCCGGCCCTGGCCCCGCCATGGGCTCCGGTCCCGGCCCCGGCCCCGGCTCCTCCCGGGCCCCGCGGAGGACAGCGGCACGGCCGCTGCCGCCTCCGCTGCGGCTGCCCCGGCCCGAGCTCCGCCGCTCGGCAGCGCGGCCGCCGGCCCCGAGCCGCCGCTGTCCCGGGGCCGGGAGAGAACGCCTGGGGATGGCCGGCCCGGGGCGCTCGGGGGGCGCTCGGGGCTCCTGTCCGAGGAGGAGGCGCGGGGGCTGCTCTGCAGGTGCTGGAGGCCGTGCGGCGCTGCACCAGCTGCGGGGTCCTGCGCAGGGACATCAAACCAGGGAACATCCTGCTCGACCTGGCCACCGGGCAGCTGAAACTGATCGGCTTTGGCTGTGGCGCCTTCCTCCGAGACACAGCCTACACCCAGTTTGCAGGTGAGCCCTGCCAGGGGATGTTCCTGGGCATCTCATGGCCCAGCCGAGGTGCAGCACCGAGGCTTCCCCTATTGTAGCTGTGATGGGATTAATGCTGAAGCCAGGTTCATTTGGGTGGGGGTGTGAGGGGGTCCAGCTCCCAGCCCTGCTGACAGCCTTCAGCACCCACTGTGGCCTGGGCTGGGGCTGGAGCTGGGGCAGCCAGCCCGACCAAAACCCCCATGGGGGAGCAGAGAGGGGGGTCTGACCCCATGCCAGTTTGGTGTGCAGGTGAGGAAGGGCTTGGACTGCTCTGCTCCCCTTGTTTGCCTTGGCTTGTTAACATTTTTGGGGCCATACAGGCAGGGAGAAGAGGGGGTTTTCTCTACCTCTGAGTTTTTGTTTTGTGTGTCATGCTTGGGCCTTACCAGGGTTTCTGCTGCCCTCTTCCAGCACCAGTGGCTTCTTTTCCAGCCCCGAGTCTGTACACAAGTCCCAGGTGCTGGTGAGAGGGCAGCAGTCGCCCCGTGTGCCACTGGGGCAGCCCCTACACGCCCAGGGATGCTGGGGCCAGGCTCTGGGAGCAGCAGCATCCCCCCCTGATAAGCTCTGTCTGTATTCCACAGGAACCCTGTCCTACAGCCCACCAGAATGGATCCACCACCAACGCTACCACGGCGAGGCAGCGATGATCTGGTCCCTGGGCCTCCTGCTGCACCACCTGGTCATGGGAAAGCACCCGTTCAGGAGGGGCCAGGAGATCATCTGGGGGTGGATCTTGTTCCCATGACGGCTCTCTCAAAGTGGATCCTCATCTCTGGCCACGGGGGAATACCAGAGCTGGGAAACAGCAGCAGCTCGAGAGCATCCCGCTCTGGCAGCTGCTGAGGAGGTGGCACATGTCCTGCTCTCCTGCTCTCCTCCAAACAGAGGATCCATGGGGAAGTTTAGGCCCAGCTCTGGGCACACCCAGCATGGCCTGGGCATGGGAACAGGGGGCAACTTCTCCAACTGACTGGTGATTGCTGGTTTCTCTCCCCACAGTGCCAGGATGTCATTAAGAGGTGTTTGTCCATGCAGCCCTTGGACAGGCCATCCTTAGAAGAGCTTTTCCGTGATCCTTGGGTGCAGGGTGTTCCTCTGCCCTAGAAGATGGGAGAGATCCACGTGCACAGTTGGATCCAGGGGCCTGGCAGGTAACAGCTCCACACATCTCTTGGCAATCAGTGGCAAAGCCAACCACACAGGTTTTGTCCTGCCTGTAGCAGGGCTCAGCAGAAGGGGCCTTGGGGGCCTTGAGGATCACATAGATGACAGCAGTGTTGCCTGTGAGTCCCACAGCACAGATCACAGAGTAGATCACAGGCAGGACAACGTAGAAATCAGCTGCCTGCTCCTGGAGGGTGAAGTTGAACCTCATGGTGTTTTCCGGATAGCAGCTGTTGCCTGCATTGCTGCAGGAGCTGTTCAGATCATCCCAAAAGGAGATGTTTCCCATGCCTATTAATCACAGAACACCCTCAGATGCCACTGAAAGCCTCTCTAGCCCAGGAGTGTGAGAGATTTTTTGTTTGGTTGGGATTTTTTTCCCCCCTCCTGTGTGAAGCAGCTGTTACCTCATTTAGATGCAGCTTATTTTCAAAGGGGAGCTGTGAGGCTTCATGGACCACCTAACTTACCTCTTCCCCCTGTTAGATTTTGAAGTGACGAGGGGAGAAAAAAATGTTTGGAAGACATAAGGCTCCATGAACCAAGAAAACAAGAGAATAATGACTTTCTAAATAAGTCAAGGAACTCTTCTTTCTGAGAGCATTCTGGTGAGCTTTGGCGTTTCTTTGCTGGGGAGTTGAGCGGCTCCCGTTCAGCTGTCTGCTGTGAGAGTTCTTCAGGGGCTGGCCAGGAACAAAGAGGCAGAAGGGGGAATTTCGTGCCTGGCTGGCTGTTCACAGCCCTTGGAGGATCTGAGGGACGGCTGCTGTTTCTCTGGCACAGCGCTGGCTTCCCGGGCAGGAGCAGAAGCGTTCCAGTGGTTAATGAGCGCCTGCCTTTGTGTCGGAGTTCAGGCTTTTCTTGGACTTGGATTTCACAAACAATGAATAAGTTTCTGACACTGCTACTCCCCACTCCCAGGGTCCCCTAGCAAAAGAAAGAGGGGGAAAAAATAGTTCAGGGAGTATTTCTGAAATTAGCATTAAAGGGGATTACCCTGCAATCAAAGTACACCTTTAAGCAAGGGTGGGCTATGAACTTACTCACTCTGAAAACCATCCCTAGTACAAACAGCTGCCAGCACCCCAAATTTGGCACAGACGGACAGACAAACCTGTTAATCTCAGAAGTTCAGGATTAACCAGGGAAGAGGGAGAAAAGTACCCTGAAAGCAAATCCACTTTAGAGCCACAGCAAGAATCATTCCATCTGCAGTAGTTACCACATCCATCACTATTGCCTGACCCATACTTCCAAGAATTCCTCCACAGGGAATGAGCAAACAACTGACCCCTACCCCCACCGTAAAGATCAAAGGTTTGGCAACCAGTCTGCAAAGAGAAGTGCCTCACTTCTCTTGCCATTTATTGTCGCACAGCAATCAAGTGAGTGGGACTGCCGGCATTGGGGACAGAGGGCTGAAGTGTCCCTTACCTGGGAAGCGGCTCCGCTGCCTCCTCCAGCACCTGCTGCTTGCACTGGTGAGCCTCTTTCCTCTAATCCGAGTTGGAGGAGGGTGTCTGGGTTGCTGACGTACTGGGATTTGCAATCAAGGCTGCTCTGGGGGAGTTTGGCTGGGTTTCTCCAGCTGGGTCTCTGATCCGGCTTTGGAAATTCAGATGTGCATCCGGAGGTGCAGGAGTCCTGTGAAGCTTGTCAGAAATCCACCCCAGGTTATAGAGCAACAATGTAAGATTACTTTACCAGCATGTCCCTGAAGAAAAAAAGGAAAAAGGAAATCAAGAGTCTTTTGAGTCTCCTTTAGCCTTTAAAATGTTGCCTGACCTTTCTTTCAAGATAAGGCAAAGGAAAACACGGGCATCCATCACTGCCATACCCGGCTGAGTGCATTTAACCAGGAGAGCCAGCTCATAGATCTGTAGCCAAGAACTGTGTTCCACTTTGCTCCTCTTCTTTGGATGTTTTTATATTCTTCTGGCAAGGTTATTGTGCACCAGTAGCTAGGTGGGAGTAAACCATTTCATTGCACTTCTTAAGGCCATGGCTATAACTGACTTTTCAGCAGATGGGAATTTTTTTATGTCCAAGGTACAACTCTTCAAGGTATTTTCTGTACCTTGGCCAAAATTTAACCAGATATTTGGCTTAAGAAAAATGAAACAGGAATTGTATTGTCTAATTATATTGCATAGGAATGATATGGATGATACTTCTTCAGATGAAACACCCCCGGAACTTTCTTCTTGCCTGTTTTGGGAAAGCTGGTGTGGTTTATAAGGAGTTGTAAATGAAGCAAGGTAGGTCTGCAGGGGGAATGTGGTTTCTAAGTATTGCTGTTGTCCTTTTTCAGAGAAAACCATACAGGAAGGCAGAAAAATTCAGGAGAATGTGATGTTACATTTGCTGATCTGTAACTATTCCCTGGGACAAAAGGGTCTTAAAGTAGTTTTCATCCACAATTCTTTATATTTTTTCAGCATAAAGTATATCTCTGGTCTCTGGAATAGCTTAAAAGCTGTTCTTTCTCTTCCCCAACTATATTATCTTGGAATTGGCATCATGCTGCCATGGCCAGGGGTTGTGTGCCTGGCTGCTGTGTGTTTTAGGGGCTGGGAGCTGAGGGGGCTGCAGGAGCTGTGGTGCTGATGATGCTCCCTTGTGCTTTACCCTCTGCCTCACTCCTCATTATCCATAGTGAACATGCTGTCCGTGCCTTGCTTAGGATGTGCTTGATTAAAACAACCTGTCAGAGATGAGATGGAGACTAATTAAAGCTCATTGCCTGGTGTGGTAAAGGGGCTTTTGTTTATATGCCCCAAACAAATTATTGGCACCTGCTTTTGGAGCTCCTTGCCTGGTTCTCCAACAAAACATTTTTGCTGTGGGGACAGCAATTGTCAACAGATCTAAACTCATGTAGAAAATTGCTTTGCAGTAGGAACTGTTCTACCAACAGAAAAAATATTTCCTCTGTGTGAGGAAATATTCCTCCGTGCATATAGGTGTGATGGGGAGTGCTGGAGAGAAGGCTGAGGCAATGTTTCATTCTTCTTATCTTCTCTGGCTGGGCATCCCTTGATTATAAATGTTACAGTGGCATAAAGCCCTGGAAATCAAGCACTGGTTTGAAGATGCTGCTACAAAGGGCACGAGCTGTGTTTTCCCTGCTTGGACCTACTTTTGTGCCAACAGCTCCATCATCAGCACAGTGTGAAAAGGACAGAGATTTTATTCCTGGCAAATCCATGCCATGGAGATGGACTTTGCCTCTTGAAGTCCATGTTCACACTGTGCAGCTTGGGTCAGCTGTGCAAACAAAGAAAAGGCAGCGTTTCAGGGAGGGGGAAGTCCCTGCCAATGCTAAATCAGTGGTGCTTTATTGCCTTCATAAAGCTGATGTGCTGCTGGCTCCAGATAAAGGCCATGCACCATTTTAGAGTTATGGAGAACCTGTTTTGTTGGGCTCCTGCTGCTGTCAAGGAGTCAAGTTCATCTCAGGGACACAGATATACAATCAATAATCTGTTTACCAAAACAAAATGTTCTCGGCTGGCTGTCTTGCAGTCACTGGTTATTAAGGTGATTTATTTGTATGAAGTGTTCAGGCTTTCAAAAGCATTGCAGGTTAATAATAGAATCAAGGAGTAGTTTGGGTTGGAAGGGACTGTTAAAGGTCATCTAGTCCAACCCCCCTGCAATGAGCAGGGACATTGTCAACCAGATCAGATTGCTCAGAACTGAGCCATCCTACCTGGCCTCGAATGCTCCCAGGGATGGGGCATCTACCACCTCTCTGTGTAACCTGTGGTAGTGCTCACCATCCTCATTGTAAAAAACCCTTTTTTATAGCTAATTTAAATCCACCCTCCTTCTGTTTAAAGCCATCCCTCCTTATCCTACCACAACAGGACCTGCTGTCCTGAGAAAGGTCCAGACCTGATCATGTCAAAAGGGCAGTAATTGCTTCTGGCAAGCTAAGTGTGCCTGGTCAGGCTACTTGTAGGATAACATTCACCCACAAGCTGGGAAGTCCTCCTGCTTTCCCCCAAAACCTCCCCAGTCTGACTGAACCAGGCTGGCTTAGAGAGGTGATGGTGCTCACCTTGTAGGACACCTCAGGGAGCCAGGCAAGAGCTGCAGGTGGTGAGGGGTACCTGCAGGGCAAATGTCTCTGTGGGTAAACTGGTGAATTGTGGGCAAAGAAGGTGATAATTGTCATGGATCCAGGGGCTGGTGACACATCCTGCCTGCCAGAAGGCAAAGGGGTACAGGGAGTGATTGAAGGAAAATGGGAGTAAGGAGTCCATAAAGGGCCTGTTTTTGTCAGGGAAAGTACATATCAATAACTGCCTGTCTCTGCAGGGGAGCAATCAACACAAAGGCCGTATTAGCAATTCCCTCAGACCAGCTGTGATGGGGAATAAAAGCTGCAGCCCTGGGAGCTGCTGGGTGGCTGGCTGAAGCTGTTTGTTCCATGCAAGTCAGGAAAGAGGTTGAGAAGCTCCTGCAATGGGTTAGCCCTCATTCCCAGCACTTCTTGGAGACCCTGGCTCTTCTACCATACCTCCCCCAGCCCCGTGGCGCTGTCTGGGGCCACCCAGAGGTGCCACCAGCCATTGAGGGCAGCAAGTGGCATTGTAAGAGGTTGCCTGGCTTGCAGCAGGAGCTGTGCTGTCAGATGTGTTATTAAGAGAGCTCTGGTAGAGTACTCATGACAGTGGGAGCAAGGACACGGTGCCAGTCTTGCTGCAATTAATACATATCTGTGAGAATTTAGAGTGCAGAGGGAATGCTGCTTTAAACACATTAATTTTCTCTCCCGTTCCCTGCTGGTCTGGCTTCAAGCAGCCTTGCTCCAGAGAGAAATTAAAATCTGCTTACGTTCCAGGATGCTTTTATTCTCCAGCATTTATTCCTGTTTTTCTCCAGGGCTGGAAGTGAATGTGTACTTTGGTTGGTTTGCTGCCCTGAGCCAGCTCAGTCTGTTGAAAGCAGAGCTCTTTGGAAGAGGGAGGTTTCTGGAAGT